TGCAATTTTTGTAATTGATCCTGATCTTCTTGTTGTTGTATTAAGGATTGAATTTAGGGTAAATTACTAAAGAATTGTCCTACAAATTAATTGTAAAGTTTTAGGCTGTTTTTTTCGACCCGAAATCAGGTCAGATCTGGTTCATTATTTTTTAAGACGGGTTTAGTAATGCATTTTTATGTTCTTTTTGTTCATATTTTTTGCCAGGCTAGAAAATCCCGTATGGTCCGACCATTTTGGACGGGATTGGGCATTGAATTTCGGCCCGAAGCTAAGCCCGACCCGAGTAATGGCATATTTTTTTAGCTTCGACCCGGTCCAGCCTGCCCATTGATCAGGTTTAATAAGAAGCTAAAAAAGGAAATATTTAAAATAAATTAACATTAATTATACCGATTTCCGTGTGATTTTGTCATAAATTTTCAACTTAATTCTATTTTAAAAAGTATCTTTAATGGTTATATATAGCCATAAGGGTTGCATATATCATTACCCTAATATTAATGAGGTTTTGAATTAGTGGTTAAGACTAAAGATGGTAATTGGTTGGATAAGGGTCCACTCAAACCCATTTTTAAATGTACAAATATATATAGCCCACTATTCCCAAAGTACTTAGCCCACTAACCCGAGCTTGGAGGATCTATGAAAGGTTTCAGCCCGATACACTACAAGAAAACAACTTAATTCCGACGGAAAAAATCCGTCGGAATCATCGAAAATTCCGTCGGAAACGGGTCTTCCGACGGCATTCCGTCAAAATTAGTCTGTCGCAATACCCTTTGTAGGAAATTCGACCTTTTCCGGCGTAAGGCTGGTCCAAGCTCAAATGCAGGCCCAAGTACAGGCTCAAGTGCAGGCTCAAGTGTAGGCTCAGATGGCGGAACTTGAGCGGAGGAACAAAGAGATGATGGACGAGATGTTGAGTCGCATGACAGGACTCAACACTCCATTCACATGTTCCACGGACGATGCCGCCGCAGCCGCGAGACCCTTGGGACGACGACCCCGGTTGTGGGGGAGGCTCGGCTTCTTTTCCCGTCGTGTAGCTTTTTGTTTCTTTTCACGTATTGTACATAATTTGAGATACAATGTAGGTTATTTATCCAAACTGAATGTAATAATTATAATTATTAATTTATATTGATTGATTTATTTTCAAATGAAATTTTATTATGTTTTAAAAAGATTGCAGTAGCGAAGAACAGGTCAATATACAGGGGGGAAGTGGAAGCAAAAAATAAAAAATAAAAAAAAAACAAATTTTCCGACGGAAATAATCCGTCGGAACAGGGGGGGATTTCCGACGGAATTATTTCCGTCGGAAGTCACCGATGGCTTCTGACTGTCGGTGATTTCCGACGGATTATTTCCGTCGGAAAATGCCATATTTCCGACGAATTATCCAGTCCGTCGGACATTTCCGATGGACATTTCCATCCCCCAGTCACCAAGCTCCGACGCCTCTTTTTCGTCGGAAATTCCATCGGAATTCGACATTTCAGTCGGAAACGACCTTTTTTCCGACGAAAGGTTTTCCGACAGACATTTTCCGGCGGAATTCCGTCGGAAATGACATTTTCCGGCGGAATTCCGTCGGAAATGACAATTTCCGACGGAAATTCACTATTTTCCGACGGATAATTTCCGTCGTAAATAAGCTTAATTCTTGTTGCGCAGATCTACTAACAAATCTACCATCTCTACCCTTACGCACATCTACCCTACGCGTCTCATACATCCCATCAAGCCTTTGACTGAATGGACCGTAATCATCATATGGTCCACTCTGATCGTCGACATCCTCATCTGCATCCTCCTCCTTCTCCTCCTCCACCTCCTCCTCCTCATCACCATCATCATCTTCATCATCCTCAGAATAGTGCACCCGTTCTCTACGAGCCGAGGCCGAAATACCACGGGATCTAACGTGTCTGGGCCTCGAGCTCTCCATTGAATAGATCGTACTTCTCATAATGTCCATAGTCTTCCCCGCACCAGCTTCAAAATGTGATGCCTAACTCCATGTAAATAACGAAAAATAAATACGAAAAAAAATTCAACAAAGTCGAAAATGCACACAAAAACAAAAAAAAAAACACCAAAACATACAATATGAATTTAAGAAAAGTAAATACAAAATAAATAAATAAATAAATAAATAAATAAAAGAACATACAAATAACGGGAAAAATTAACAAATATGAAAAAAGAATATAAACATAAAAAAAATTTAACAAATTTGAAAAAAAAAATATAAACATAAACAAAACAATATACCAAAAACCAAAAATATAAACAAAAACAATAAAATATAAACAATAAACAAAAAAATCAAAAAGATAAACAAAAACAAAAAAATCAAAAATACAAAGAAAAAACCAAAAAAAACAAAAAAAAAGGACAACAAAACAAAAAAATAATAAACAAAAAAATTGAAACAACACCCAAAACAAAAAAAAAATATATAATAATAATTTAAAAAATAAACAAAAAAAATATGGAAAAAAAATTACAAAAATTTAAAACAAAAAAAAAAAAAAAAAAAGAAAAAAAAAAAAAAAAAACTGGAAAAAAATAATGAAAAAAAAAGGAAATAAAAACATTTAAAAAAAAATAAACAAAAGGAGGTGTGGCGCCTGGCCTGGACACCACAGCCACGGTGGCGGCGCTTGGCCAGGACACCACGGCCACAGTGGCGGCGTCCACGTTGGACGTCGCTACCGTGGTGGTGTCGTCTTGGCCAGGCGCCGCCACGGTGGCTGTGGCGTCTAGGCCAGGCGCCGCCACCGTGGCTGTGGCGTCCAGCCCAGTCGCCGCTACCTCTGCCTGTAATACCCCGTATTTTTGAAAGGTATTTTAGTCTCGTATTTTGACGTATTTTTCTAAATTAATTATTTTCTAAAGAGTATTTTAGTTTTGGAGTCAAAATGATATTTAAATTTTGGCGCCTAAATCATTATTTTACAAAACTAATTAAATTGGATAATCCAATAAATGAAACTATTTTATACTTATGTCATAAATAGTATTTTTGATTTCTCAAAATTTAAATAGCTAAACCGAAATTATATTAATTCGGTAGATTAATTAAAATGTATTTTCGGTTTTCATAGAATAAAAATCTAAATTGTTTTAATATTTTTCTAAATTAATTATTTTCATGAAATATATTAATTTTCGGATTTTATACAATAAAAATCTGATTTAATTAATTATTATATGTCAATATTTTCGGCCACCCTAATTATTTAATAAAAACCTGATTTTTATTCTTCAATTATTAATTTTCACAAATAAATTTTATGGGATTATTAATTTTAGGTAAACAAATTATTTTACAAAATCATTAAATTAACATAGAAGGACCGAAAATATTGAGCAATATTAAGCTCAATATTTTCGGCCACTCATGAATTTTCTAAATGGTTTTAATTTAATTTATTAAAAATAAAAATCCTTTAAAATTCCTTATTTCTATTCTTAAATCTAAAATCTCTTGATCTTATTCTATACTTGCACTCCAAGCTCAAAACCTACTAAATAATATTTCATGACCAAATAAAATCTAATATCCTTCCATACATTTAAAACCCTAATTTCTATTCTTTAAAATTTCCATAAATTATACAACCCTAAATTTCTATAAACTCATCACCTAAACACCTATAAATACCCCCTCATAACTCTCATATTCTTCACACCAAAAACTCAATTCCCTTCTTTTCTTTTACTCTTCTTTTCCCTCAAACTTTTCCTATTTTTCTTTTCCTCTTTTCTAAAAGAAAATCTGCCCGTATATCTTTGGAGCCAATTTTCGGGCACTTCTGGTCATTTTTTGGATTTTTCTATTTCACAGAAAATTATTCCTCTCGAAAAATCCTTGAGGTTAAGCTCAAAAATCACCCAATTCGGAGTTATATCAAAGGAGTTATGACCTATGCAAGTTCTGCCTATTCTTTCCAACGCAAATTCAATTTCCTTTAATCTTATTCCTTTATTTTCTTCATGGTTAGTTTTCTAAAATATAATTACCTATTTAAAAGTTATAATTTAATATTAAAGTATTATTTTTAAAATAGTTTTATAATCCATGCACATTACATTTGGGTTTATGTCTAAAGATGTTGTGATAACCGTATGGTTATGTTGATTGCAAGGTGTATTCGTGATTGAATTTTGAAAGTGCGAAGTGTTGATTGATATTCGGAATTAAGGTACGTTATGTGGTTTGATATCTTCAAAAGTTGACTATGAAATTATGTTTTAATATAGTTCTTATGAAATTATGTGCCGTATGAAATTATGTTTTACTATATAAAATTGTGTTTTATGATAGCTTGAAATTAATGATTTGGATTTGAATCAAAAGGACCTTAAATTGTGATTGGAAAATTATTGAAAATGATTTGCAAGTTTGTTGTTATGTAAGTGTGATGGATTTTTTTTAAGACGAATTTTTAAATAAATCAATCGATATGTTGAATCCCACTTAGGGAATGGTTTAGAGAAGACTATGGACTTTGCATGACCTAGTCTTTCCTCAAGTTGGCCTTTGATTATAAAGTAAACCACTTGGGGGGTGTGCACACTTAGTGAGGAATTGGTTTTGGAACGTAATCGATTGAGTTTTTAAATTTTGTCTTGAAAGAATTGAATTGGAAAAACTCTTACTTGAGTACGGCATTGGAATTCTTATGTTTTTGAATTGATTTCAAATCAGGTCAGTCGGATGAGGTTTTAACACCTCTAACGATGAACATGGAGTTACAGTTGTAAAATCTACGGAGCATTTGTTTAAAATTTACTAGCAGTGATACATACAGCATGTTACAGCCAAACCTTTTGACTATCAAATCCCAAGAAAGTCCACGGTCATTTCTTCAACCTAAAATTCCCTGATTACCCATCTCTAACCCCTCTCTACATAAATTAAAAAACGAAACCATTTACGAAATAACAAATTCAAGTACTCCATATAATATAATATTACAGTAAAACAACAACCTAGTGACAAGAAGGAAACAAAGGAAATGATGATCACATCATATTTGTTATTAGAAGACCAAGAGAAGCAAGAGAAAGAGGAGTGGGTAGAATTTGCTGATCAAGAGAAATTTGATTTCGAGGCGATTCATAAGGAAAAAACACAAGCAATGTTGGATTACAATTCAAATTTGCAGAGTAGCTATGAGGGTTTGGATGAAATTGATGGATTAAGGCGAAAGCGATCGAGGGGAGCTGTGAATTCTGCAATGGTTGTTGCTGCTAGTGAAATGATTGAGAAAGGCGGTAGTATTGAGGCTAGCAGTAAGCAATCTAGTGGTTCATCAGTGAGCCATCAGCGACGTTTATGGGTGAAAGACAGGTCTAAGGATTGGTGGGATAAGTGTACTAGCCCTGATTATCCTGAGAGTGAGTTTAAGAGGTGGTTTAGGATGGGAAAAGCAACATTTGAGTTGATTTGTGATGAGTTAAAGGTGGTTGTTGCCAAGGAGAATACGATGTTGAGGGCTGCTATTCCGATTGATCAACGAGTTGCTGTGTGTATATATAGGTTGGCAACAGGCGAGCCGCTTAGGTTGGTGTCTAAGAGATTTGGTTTGGGGATTTCAACTTGTCATAAGATTGTTCTTGATGTTTGTGCTGCAATTAGGTCCGTTTTGATGCCCAAGTACCTGCAATGGCCCGATGAGGATTCGTTGAGGCAGATTAAGGAGGAATTTGAATCCATTTCTGGCATTCCTAATGTGGTTGGTTCTATGTATACAACTCATATACCAATAATTGCACCTAAGGTTAGTGTGGCTGCTTATTTCAATAAGCGCCACACTGAGCGAAATCAGAAGACTTCGTACTCTATTACAGTTCAGGGTGTGGTTGATCCTAGAGGGGTTTTTAGCGACGTGTGCATAGGATGGCCTTGATTAATGTCTTAAGGGTGATAGAAAAGAAGTTATAATATGAGCTCCTATAACAAATTAACGAGGAAACGATTCATAACTGAGTTTCCCTCCTCTCAAATCTTTTTTTTCTGTCACCACATTTTTTTTTCTTCCATTGGCATGGCTTGCTGTTACAACTTACAAGTGACTCTCTCCTCTTTTTGCAGGATTGTGTCCAACTCAATTTTAACTGCTTTGATAATCATGATGGCTAACCGTAGTTTAATATATTTGAATGAAATATATATGTTTGCAAAATATACACTAATAAGTACGAAGTATATTATTTTTAATAGATTTTTTTTTCTTAGTAAACTTAAACAAAAAAGTAGTATTTTAGAAAGATATGTCAAATTGGTTTTTAAGGGATGGTTACTATATTAGAAAAGATATATATTCACTATATTTTTAAAATATTTGTTTCTGTAATTTCGTTATTTTCTAAATTATTTGTTTTTTAATTTTGCTAATTTATTTTATTTTTTAAACAAAAAACTAAGGACACACCAGAAGATGACACATGTCATTGCTGGTGTATCTTTTATTATATATTTTTTTTTTTTGATGATTGATTGTATATTATTTTTAACAAACAAAAAAACTTATTTTTAAAGGGCTTAAGCTCATGACGCTAATCAAAAAATGCAGTTTACCATATACTTCGTACAATGTTAATATGTTATTGTCCATGTAGAATGGAATTGTAATTGTTATAGCTTTCGTGTATCTGTTTACATGCAAAATGATAAATTATATTTTAAAGTTGAAAAAAAAAAAGAATACTTAGTAAAAAATTTAAAGTGTAGAAGAAAGATGGTAATTGACTTGTATAAATAAGATAAGCACCTATTTTTTAAAAAAGATAAAGTTAATTGTGTAGCATAATTTAAATATTTAACCTATTTGAATCAGTAATTGTATGCAAGTGAAAACATACATAAAGCAGAATGGTGTACTGCAGTCAAATTAGATCAATAGCATATAATCATATAGAAAAGCTTTAACTCCCAAGCTTAAAGTGTTTGATAAGCAGGCGTTTTCTAGGAACATACAAACTACTGTGTATATGTTCCTAACAATTCAATTCAAGCTGTGTACGTTCCTCGCAAACTCTGCAAAAGATTTAGATGAAGTCTTGTAAGGAGATGTTTGATAAGAACACAAACTACTGTCTATATTCCTACTAAACGGTCCCAAAAGAAAAAGCTACATAGTTACAATAAATCCATTTCATACAAGGTGTAGCAAACTAAACTTAATACTGGCTGAAGGCACTGCAGATTTCATGTTGGTACTAGCACAGCAGATAGTCTTATTTATGGTAAGCAAAAGGCACCAAATGATAATGAGCTATGATACTCAGTTACAACCCTGCACATTTAAAACTTTCTTTGCTCTGTCTGAATCTTCCAAAGGAGTGCTGACAGCAGGATTTGCAGTAGCTTCAGTGTCCTGCAAGTAAACAGGACACTGAAGAAGTGGTCTGTTGGTGCAGAAATAGGTGGTTCTTTGTCTGAAGAAGTACCTCCGTAAGTAAACAGAGCCGTACGCAGCTTCTTTCTATCTTGGGTTTGCTGCATCAGTTAATGAAGTATTTTAAATAACCAGTTTTAAACATCACTTAAGGAAGGATCCAAGCAACATGGAGCTTATTACAATAGTTAACACAACAAATACATCTACCAGCACATGATTAAACAATTAGCAGATGTACCAAACTACCCCCCACAAAAAAAAAAATATAGAAAACCAAACCTCACCCCCCCATCCCTTCATATAACAACCATCGTTCTTTTCCAAAAGCATTAATATCTTGAAAAGTAATACAATTACAAGTACACCAGAGTGTAATCCGAAGCGTTATTAACAAACTAGGCAATATCACTGATTTTACTGCTACATTTACCACAATAAATATTTTTGTTAGGGCACCGAAACAAAAGCTACACAAACCCACCCAAACAAACTCACCTTCCCAAACAAACGACAAAAGCAACACAAACCCACCCAAAAAAATATTAGAGCACACACATATATAGTCCTCCAACCCAAAGAATGCAATATCGACACCACAATTGAAAAAGCAACACAACACCATAGATCAGTCCTTAACCATTGTGTAAACCTACCTGAACAGAAGTTATCTCCACATATCACAAGGAAAGGAAAAGGGCAGAAAAAACTAAATGCAATCCAAAAGGGGCTTTTAAAAAATGAAACGTCCAAATATAAATACACCCTCAAAACATGTAAGTGATGTAACCACTCAACTACCACCACAACAGCCTACAAGAAAATAGAATTCCCTATATCCTAGCTATTTGGCCAAATAAATTAGCTAAGTAACATTGTCCAAACAGAAATAACAATTAACATAGGCAATACAAACCTAATCAGCAAAACACAACTAATTACACAACTAAGATACAATCAAACACAAGCATTACATCAATTTTACCAACGTAACTAATTACCAGAACTAGAGTAATGTGTTTTGATGTAATTGTTGCAATTTGGTTGCAAATCCTTCAATTTCATCTGCATCCCCACAAGCCTCTAAAAGCCGCGGTACATTGCCAAAACCTGCCACGGCGGCCTTTTGAACGTTCTTATATTTCTGAAAGAACTTCTTCAACTTCTGGGATATGTCGTGAAGGCGTGTGATGTAATCTTGAATTTTTTTGTCCAAGCTCATACGTTCATCATTATGAAAAACCAACCTAGATTCTGTGATTTGATAAATCACATTTTGACCCTCTCGAAAATATTCTTGAGAGGCACTCAAAGATGTACCAACCATCTCAAATTCAGCGAGCATTGAGTCAATTTGATTTTTGGTTTGTAATACGCTTGGGGGATGAACAGGTGGCAGAGAACATCCGTAAACAATTTCACCAATTAAATCAGCTTCCATCCATGAGATGCCAAGTTCACACATGCTTTTTCCAGAATCCCCCTCGGAATTTTGATATGATATGTAGGAAATTCCATCAATTTCGCATAAATCAACCAAAACAACAGCATGACGAGCTCTTTGCTCTACCTCCATACCTTCCCTATCAAATTTCCTCTCAGTCACATAACTACCACCTCGAACATACAAATCATCTCCATCAACATTATAAGTAGTGTATACGGGCACAACTCCTATAACTGGAAAAAATTTTAGCAACTGCTTCAAGCGAGAGATTGCATCTATTTTATGACATGACATACCCTTAGCGTATTGGATGACATGGGTACCATGATTCCATAATGGTACACCTCTGGTTTGTGCCTCAACTAGCAGATCAATAGGTTTCCACCTAGTTTTGCGATCAGGATACTCTTTTTTCAAATCATTCTCCCATTTTTTGTGGTCAAATATACACTCATCTTCGGTCAATGACAATCCTTTGCTTGCATTAGCATACAACAACCTCAAATTATAATCGAGTTGCTTTACAACTGCTGCAAATGCACACATATTGGGACCTTGTTTGATAGGAGGCTGTAAAATCTTCACCCCATTGTATACCTTCCACTGAAACTGATGATTTGATAGTTTCTCAAAATGCTTGTGATGTTTTGGCTGCATATATAAGATTAGAGGGCTCATTTTATTCTGCTTTTTCAATATTTCTGCTTGAAAAGTTTAAAAGATGAACATAGTTTAATCTAAGGGTCAGAAATTCAGAATCAGTACCTAGATTTTTTAAAGGAGGAAGTGTTGGAAGAAAAAAAAAGGGTGGTTACAGAATAGAAAAACTTCATCTATTGGCAGCAGAATCAGGAGTTTCCTCACAAATGAGAAAAGAGAGTGGACTGTTAACCTAACAAAACCAGACCGAGAGAAGAACTGCAATAAAAGATATCTACTTTGAAGAAAAGGCAAAAAGTTCAGAAGAAGTATCAGGAGAATTTCAAGTATGGGCTGAGAGCCGATGACAAATATCTGGGAAAGAGGAGAAAATAGTGGTTAAGATGAAAGATACACCATCTACTCCTGTATCCCGAAGCCTGGCTGGCCCTCAGAAGCCTTCAAGCCGGGAAAGATATACCTAGCTTGGAATAGAGCAAAGCAAGACAAGTCCCCTATCATTCTTATGCTTAAGCAGATTTCTCTGTATCATTTTTTCTAGTTTAAGTGTAATGTGATAAATCTTTTCAGCTAAAATTTTACTAAGCAGATGCAAAATAAACGCTAAAATATTTAATTTACCTCTTCAATATTTGAAACAGAAACTCCCTTCTCTTCCAAATTAAGGAGACAAGGAGGTAATATTGAAAAAGAGTCGGCATACAGACATAGCTTCCCCTTAGATTTTCCTATGATCAACAAGAAAAGAGATCTAATCATGCAACAGATGAAGAGAAATTAACCAAAACACTGAATTAAAGTATCACTGAACCTCAAAAGAAAACAAACACCATTTCTAAGCAAAAGTATCTTTATCTAAATCATATGGATAAATCTATCCGTGTTTATCAGCCACCATTTCATACAACTTCCCACCATTTCATACAACCTCCCCCCCCCCCCCTCCTCAACAAAAGAAAAAAAGGATGGAGGAGGATTTTTCACCCTATATTCCCAAGGTTTAATGAAACAAATAACTCTATCAGTGTTTTTTAGCACCAATTAATACAACCCCCCCCCCCCCCCCCCCACACACACACACAAACAAAAGAAAAAAATAAAGATGGAGGAGGATTTTTCACCCTATATCCCCAAGGTTTAATGAAACACACCGTGTTCTCAAGAAAAAAACACAACATACCACAGACGTTTTCAAAAATCACCATGTAATCCCAAACCTAACAAGCGAAATTCCGTCAAGCCTCCATCCCTGATACGTTAAACTCGCTTTCCCTCCCTCTTCCAAATTAAATTTATTTTCCCCCCACTCTCTCCTCCTCCCCTGACAGGGAAACCCACCCCAATCACCTCCACCCTGCCACCGACCACAAAGAGGCTAGCCCATTCACCCAGCCACCACCAAATAACTCACTCCCACCAGCCACTTTAGCCTCACCACTCACCACCACTATGTAAATTTGATATGCATTCATCAAAAGTCACAACTTCAGAAACTGAGTGGAGGTAAAATAATTTGAGGTTTAGATTAACAAAAAAGTAGAAAACAATGTGAGAAAACTTGGGCTTCAATTATCCAGTCTCTGCATTCATAATTTGTTGCCTAAAGAGAAAAAACAACTTTTTGGACTCGCTTGTGTTATGGTCACCAACCTTAGTTGAAATTCAGACAACAATACATGTGGCCACCAACAGCCACATCACACCCATCCCATCCGAAGCATGAGACAACAGAAGCAATGGATATCACTTGCAAGGTGTTCAATAATTCAGACACAAAATCTCATAGCAATTATCTGGTTAAAATTTAGACTGGTTTTTTCTGTTGATGTCCATGATTTTTTAAGGATGAAATGGAAAAACAGGCAACAAATAACCCAGGGGAGGAGATTAAGACTGCAATAGTGCAAGAAACTGTAATTGGAGATGAAGTGTATGGAAAAGTTTCATGTCTGTCTTTATACTTCTACATTAAAGACCATGAACTTAAGCTTTAAGCAACTTTTAACCCCACCCAAGGTCCCTCCTCCCCTCTTATCGTCTCCCATCCATAGCTATTTTCCCTAAGAAATCTTGTCTCCTCTCCCAATTGAAACAGAAATTGCACCAAGTCTTTACCCAATCAAAGGGAGGCAGTCAGGGTTGCTAGCTGCATTGGGTGGTTTTAGCATCTAAGGAGCCGATAATGTGGACGGAAATGTGATGCTTTTTTGGGTGGTTATTGGGGGTTGAATTGCATAGGAAAAAACAAGAGAGAGAGTGAGGATCAGTGACAAATTTTTTGCAGGCAGCCATGGAAAGAGAGAACAAAGGAGTTTTCGTGCTTGTGAGGGGAGGGAGGAAGTGGAGAATAAAGACTGTGGGAAGGAGGAAAGAGATTGGGTTGGATTAAAGAGGGGAGAGAGTGGGAAGGGTATCGAGTAATGGGAAAAGTGAGTGGGATGTCAGTGTTAAGGGTACACTGTGAATTTTAAGTCATTGGGGTACATGGAGAACTTCATTAAACCTTGAGGTGGAAATCCCAACAGAGAGAAGTAAAGATTTACAGCCTAAAACATTACATGCAAATTGAAAGTGTAAGATCCCAGCAAAACAATATACGATCTTGAATAAGTCCAACAGTTAATCTAAGTAAATATCTAGAGATTGCAAATCAGCAGATTTTATACAACACGAACCTGGTGATCCCGTTACCCTAACATCATGACCAAGTTCCACAAGACCAACATTCTGGCAATACCTGCACATATAGATTAGTTACTAGTACACAATTGTTTGAGTAAAGAGAGAGAATGAAGGAGATTCAAGCTTAAATAGACACCATAGGATAGCATAGAATTCCACATATAATTCCAGCAAGGACACTATCCAAACGCACAAAAGGTAATAGAAGAAATAAAAATAGCCTCCAAAGAAAAAAGCAGTTAGAAAACTAACAAAGAGACAACACACAAAAAAATAAAGCCCTTTAGGAACAATTATAGTTGTTAACTCACTAATCACACAACTGACAGCTTGCAATCCTTATATATCATTATTGCCACCACATATTAGCCTCATACATCCCGACTTGTATAGAATATACATTTCAACACCTTGAAAAATTACACTATATCAACCAGTATTATTATGCAAAACCAATGAGACGGTCTGAGACTTGTGAAAATTGCATGAATAACAAAGTCTACAATATGGCAGTATAGCAAATTTAAACAACACAGTAAGAACAGGTTTCATATCCCAATGATGGATAACATTTGATGCCAATACTCCATGATGAACCAAACTACACAATAAAATAAAACACAGACGATATTAGTTATACAGACCCAAAGAATCACGCCTATATCGATTGAAAATCTCCTCGACACAAATAGGGGGGGGGGGGGTCAAACGACAAAATTGCTTTCATATCATGTGTATATTCAATATCATCATGAATCCATTAATAAAACCTGAAAGCTGAAAATTTACATTAAAATAAGATAGTGATATTAAAATAAAATACACACAGAAGAGTAAGGACATCAAGATTATATCACCTTTTCATGGCTACAAGTAGCACTTCGAGGCCCTCTTCATGCATTAAAAAATGACTTTCATCTGAATAATCCTCCTTGTTTGTGATCCTCCCTTAATGTACACAGAGAAGGCATCATTAGTACACACACATTCAAGTGCCTTAACACACACACACACACATTCAAGTGCCTTGAGACACACACACACACACACACACACACAAAAAAAAAAATAAAAAAAATATCAATAACTAGATTAACCTCCGAAATATAAACAAAACAATCCTATCAAAACCTACCAGTTAAAGACACTTTTTGGCTCCCAAATTCCCCGTCTTCCAACAAGGCATATTTTTGTTTGTAATCAGCGATTTTCATCAGACACCCCCTTGCCTTCTCTTCTTCTAAAACTTTCTCACTACCATCAGAGTTACGCTGCCATGCCAGGAAAACAGATATTAGATTATAAGCCTAGCCAACTCAAGACCAATTTAAGAGAATAAAAGCAGTGAAGCAATCACATACCTTGCAAGGGAGACTCATTTGCTTTTTAGCCCTGTGATTGTACACGTGAGTACATTAGGTTAAAAGTAAACCACGAAAAATAAATTGTGCAATCATAACAAGCTCTAATGCACACAGCCATAATCAAAGATGCTATTAAGATAAAAGATGTATCATCATTCAATAGACATCAATGAAATAAGTCTCAAATTGGATAATATGGTATTTTCTTTTCTCCGGGTGTGGGGAAAGGTTGGTAGCTAACGGCCAAAAATAACACTAAAGCCTTGCTTAGTTACCTTAATAGTCTCCTAACATGTTACCTTTATAATTAGCTGATCTTGCTTGACAACTAAGGTGAACTCTAGTCCTTGAGAATAGTGATTAGTTTATGAGACCACTCAATGGAACTTCAGTGATTTGCAAATATAATCTAATCAAATCTAGCTACATACTTGTACATATAAAGCCGAATAAATTCTCCCCAGAATAGTCCCTTGTCATCTATTTTTGAATGCCAAGGGTCCCTTTACTCTTAAGGAAAATTACACACAACCAATAAATCATACCATATACATAGATGTTGTAGTCATGCAACTAATATCTTAGTATGATAATTTGGATATTTGAATGGCCAAAATAAACCAAATATGGTTACTCTAAAATCTTTAACAAGACCAAATTTGACATTAGTGGCCAAGTATGACCAAAATGACCACTTGGGAATTCAACTAGTATTAAGAAACGATGAAAACAATTAATGTATGGACACAAATACACACAAGAAACCACCCGCTAGTAATAACATCCAAACTCCTTTCAAAAGAAATCACCCTTGAACCTAGCTTATCTTCATAATGGCTCACTTGCCTCAATTTCCATCAAAAGGATATTAATGCCTCTGTAAATTCACTTCTAATTCCACCACAACCCAAATTTTCAGCTAGTTAAACAAATGCCCTCCCACAGTCCCACTAAGTCTCATAACTGCCTAACAAGCCAGATGAAATTTAAAAAATATAAAATAAAAGATACAGAACTAACCAAAACTAAATGATGAGGCTTTACAGCCTAAGTTATTGAACAAACAATGAGCAATATCAACAAACCACGGACTTCATAGCGATGCTCGCCATCTTGGACACCAAGCCCAAGACACATTCACCATCATCCATACTCTTAGCTCTATCTCCTTGCTTAAACTCTTTCACCTTAACTTAATACCTTTAACTTTTTTGAAAAATTGGTCAATGCCCAACACTTTAACTACATATGTCTCATATTTCCATAATAATAACAGTCCTCATATTATCCGTTCTTAGTCTAGCATTGAACCTTTCACTTTCCCCATCCATACCAGCCAAAGTTCTTTTTTCTTTTCCTTCCAACACTTATTGTCAAAATACCAACCCATCCACAAGCAAATATTTTTTTCATCCAGCATTGTTTCTCAACTTTAGCTAGAGAGAGATCAGCAACATCAGTGCTTCATCTTCTTATTAATAGAAAACGTTCCGCTACAAGATCAGCCCGTTAACATTAGAGTCCCTTCAGTGCACCTATAATTCACACAAATATTTTGAAAAATACAATATATTCTCTCAAAGTTCCCCACATCCAGGAACAGGATACTTAACTCAAAGGTCAAAACTAGCCTTATTACCCTTACCACCAAGACATTCATGCCCTCCCAATTTCTATGACAATAATCTCAAAAACCACAAATATATGCCAAACCCAGAACAGGGATGTGTGGACTTCACCAGAAAAGGGTCAAACAACCTCGTATCAAACAATGCACAACCCAGTGACTTACCCATTGCAAAAGATGAACAACTAAATCTTCATCTCCAAATCACTAATACCCCTGGTTAGAAAATAACCACATTATAAGCAACACCACATTCATAATCTAAACCCTAGACTTTCTAATACTAGACCACTAAAAATGGAAAACTAATTTTGCAACAAAAAAAAAAAATTCAAGAAAACAGTTATTACAGGAAAAGAATTGAAACAAGTTGTAAATTAATTAATTGAAGTTATATAATTCAGATTGAAGAACAAATTGACATTCAAAGTTAAACAATCGATTAAGATTAAAGATTATCGTGGTGATTCAACAATAACGAAAAAGCAGAGCAAAATTCCAGAAAACAATTGAATCAAGTTAAACAAATTGAAGAACTAACAAAGAAATTGATTAAGAATTTACCGAGGAGAGAGAAATTGAGATGGAATTGAGGAATTAGGGTTTAGAATTACAGAGCAATGTTAGCTTCAGTTGAGAAATTCTGCCGTAAAATGTTTGAAAATTTAATGTGGAGTTTTGGGCTGAGCTGAGGTTACTCTCCTCTTTGGCTTCTCTATGATGACCTTTTTTTCTTTTTTTGGAGAAAAATTGAAAGTACAGAAATGCCCATATCAAATGTGGCTTCACCAATATGCAAATCATCTAATTATATACTTGTGAACATAACGACAATTAAATTCTCCCTAGATACTTGGCATTTCTTTTGAATGTCAAGTGCCCCTTTATTTTTACGAAAACTACTTACATGTAATTTACAGGATACAAAAGTATATAAGCTTAATATAATATGAAAGTCTTTGAATAGGCAAAACAAACCATATATGGGTAATCCAGTGTCTTCAACAAGACCAAATTGGTCCAAATACGGATTTAAAAACCAAGTATGATCAGAAAGACCTCTACAGTAATACTTGTGTTTTTTTATCAATATGAAATTGGTGAAGTAGTACACTAGAGTGCCCCTATTTGGTTGATACAAGTATGATAAAAATAAATAAATAAATAAATAAATAAATAATAATAATAATAATAAAATAAAAAATAAAAAATAAAAGACTACATGGGTGCTTGATTTTAAAAATGGACTCAAAATTAAATGAGCAAAACAGTAGTATCTACTAGTATTGAGAATCAATGAAAGCAACTAATGCATGGATGCATAAAAATAAGTAAGAAACCAACAACTAGCAATAGCATCTTAAACTTCTGGCAAGTGAAGATACCCTAAACTCGATCTATACAATGGCTAACTTTGCCCACAATTTTCTACCGAAAGGATATTAACGTCATGTAGCTTCACAAGCTTCTAATTCTACCACAATCAAAATTCTTGGCTAGTAACCTGATGTCCCGCCCACTTAATCTCATAGTTACCTAGCCAAAAGACCCCAAAAATTATGCTGAATTTACCAATGATATTATAATCACGAAAACTAACTGAATCTCATGCCAGGTTACTATATGAACTACACCATAAGGCCAATAACAAGATGCTTCAACAAATCAGCAGTGTGCCCAAATCCTATAGCATAGATCTATCTAGCATCAAGATATGATGTACAAACTTTTAAAAAATAACTAAACTGTCGAGAGGGGTAGGCGTCTGATGAATTGGTATAAGTCATCAGATAAGGGAGATGCAGCAGTTAGATGAATAACTTGTTCTGCACTTATTGTGCATGACTTAAAGACATGATTCTACATTCTCTCATCTCTCTGGATGCAACCAAAAAACAAGTAAGCACTTCTCAGCTTCTTTGAAAGAGAAAAAGAAAATAAAAGGCCAGATTAATATATATCTATACACCCATGTGGTTGACCAGGATGATATTTAAAACATCAGTATGTCTTCAAGATTTCAGAAAAGACACAAACGAAGCTATTTCTTGCATAGTTTGACAATATGACAGAAAAGGAAAAGAAGTTCCTGATGCCTGTATGTCAATTTTTTTTTATTCTCTGGATGTAAAAAAGAGGAAGAGGGATCAGCTACACATATTCCACATAAGAAACTTGTTCATATTAACATACCAAGTGGTAAAGAGTAATGATTATTATATTTTGCTCTTTGAAATGGCCAAAAATTAAAATCACCCAAACCAATCACACAGGTACAGGAATACAGCCCCTTCAACTCAATAAAATCTCTATAAACAAACTCCTTCAACCCTCGACAGCATCACACTGCACTAATTACTATGACATTTGTTCCATTTCTTCGAACAAAATCTCTCATTGTCACTTACCTACAAAAAACAAACAAGTGAAGCAAGAGTTGTGTTTGGACCCTTTGACACAGCCTTTTGATACTAGTCAAGAATTTGGTGAACGTGTCACGATCTGAGCTTCTTTACCTAAACAGGAAAACAGTAAACCTTTTTTAAATCCAACCCTTCCTCTACCAATCATCTTGCCTATTTCCCAATAAACCACAGGAAATCATCCCTGTTAGCAAACCAGAAGGTGCAGCCAAAAACAAGCTAAGGGAATTTCCTAAAGAAAAGACCAGAGTTAATGACCCCTGTAAAAAAGGCTTTGAAATTCACCACATAGTGATGTTATTACTGATGTACCCTCATTCATTGCCAATGTTACATGTGTAAATTGAAACCCAAAACAAGCATGTAGTTCTGTAAACCAGAAAATTCTATCTGTACTCATACCTCTATGCAGCAAAAAAGTTAGCATGGAGCACGTAACATGAAAAAAAGAAATGAAATAAATGACTTATTTGCAGAGAAGCCAATATCAAGTTAGAATTCCAACTTACAAGAGCAATTTGGGATCGATATTCAGCCGATTTACGTTGGTTAATCTGAGTCCTAGAATACTTGTGACTATGAACACTACTAACTGTGACAAGTATTCACAGTCACAAGTAATCTTGGACACAATCTGTGAGCAATGTTCCCCCATTCTTCCTCCTCTGATCAGCAATGGCCAGTTCATGTCAAACCCAGCAACCTAACAAACAGAGATATGACATGAAAATACTGAAAAAGCAAATAACTTCCACAGTATGATAAGGAGATGCTGAGGCTATAGGAAACTAATCATGAGTAGCTTTCACAGAAAGTGGGGTGAGCACATTGGGAATGATTTTTGCTACTAATTCTATTTGAGTAATATACATACTCCTGAATAATTTGGCCTACCAAATTAACCCATGAAAATTTCCATAAAATTTTGAATAGTTAACAATCATGAAATTCTGGATTTTCTTAGCAACACATTTCCAAATGTTTGGCTAAATGGAATTATTAAACAGATTAACAAGAATTAAATCCTCTTATTGTTAAAACCAAAAAATATTGGTTAAAAAACAACTAATGCATCAAAACAGAAGAAGAAAAAAAGTTATTTTAAAGAAGAAAGAAGCTCCTTGCTAGTTGCTAGTAAGAAAAGAAAGTGAACAGCATCCAAAACTGAGGTAGAGTTCTCCGAATGCTTGGGCATGACTCTGTTTCGATGTACTACGATAGTGGAAACTTCCTGTACAACACTTGCACTTAAGGAACCATTCAAGAAGCAAAGGTCAATGTAAGAGTTATCTTCATGCAGTATGACAGTATTCATTTACAAGGTAGAAAAATAGATTGATCCTTGGAATCTCATGTATTTATAAGGTAACTTAGAATCCTAGATTTCTGAATGTGTTTCAATCAGCAACATTACAGTATTGGATGTTTCACTCAAGTCAGAAATCGTATGCACTAGGAAAGAAGCATAAGTTACTAGCCGAAGACAAAATTTAAGGACATAGTATAATGGCAGAAAGGTGATACGCATCGTTGAGCTAACAACTTGATAGAACTTGTCAATAACAAGAAAACCAGAATCTATTGACTCCAAATGATCCTTCCTTAGCCGATGTCTTAGGCAATTGGGAATAACAGTAGCGATATCCTCAGGAGTCACCTAATCTCTACCCTTAAGAGAAGCCAAAGCCTTTGCTGCTTTATTTGTTACAATGACACCTCTCAAACCCTCAACATTCTATTCAGCACAGACTTTTAAGATTATTACACGGAGATCATAATCAATTTGAACAGCAGAAAGGTTATTCCTTGCAGATGTTATCTGGTCTGTTAGATTATCTTGTAAGACTCTTTAGGATTCTTATCGAAGCGGGCCCTCTCCTCAACAAACTTTATCCCAAAACAGTGAGTAATTGACGGGATTTCCTGAACCGATCAAGATAAACCGAGCAGGATGTGAGATGGAAATTCCCTCTCTTTCCACAGTGTTCCACCCTGGATCCAACCGAACATAGTTTTTCTTAAGATTATCTTGTTAGCTTATCTTGGTCATCCAAAAGATTAACCTCGTCAACACATAGTATTCCTCTATTAGCCTCCAAGCATCCTCAATATTTATCTTAAAATTAAATTATATGATAAATTGAATCAATGAAACAAAAGTATTCACCAATCAATCAAGTTTAACATAAATGAAGAAATAAAATTAAAAAAATAAAAAAAAAGAGGAAATTGTTTTACAAACCTGACTTTGCAGATATGGAGCTCTCCATCCAAGAAGATGGATCTGTACAAATTTCCTGGCATCACTCTGTATGTGTGTGTTTTTTTTTTTTTTTTTCCTTGAGCTCTCCATATTTTCTGAGCAGAACAGCATGAACGAGGCAGGACTGACTCCTGAGCGGCGTTGTCCACTTCAGATTTACATTGACTTTAACTAGTTATGGTAAACAGTAAACATCACCTACCAAAACTAGCTACTACTGTACCATCTAAGTCTTGTTTTGTTTACATTCATTGCTACTATTTAGAGGGTAGTTAGGTTAGTAGTGCTTTCCTAATATTTAGCTTTCTTTGTTTTATCATTAGCTTATTTAAAGGAACAGATGTATTTCATTTTTATCAAGAAAATTATATCAACGTTTAGTAATTTTGCTCTTTATCTTTTTATCTCTAGTTTTATCTTTTATATTCAACAAAAATGACTCTGTCGTTGCAATTGCATGCTTTGATTCACCGCAACCCTTTTAATTTGTTTTCAAATTTCAAATGATTAAAAAAATTACTAATATAATCTGAAGAAGACAACAGGGAGATTATAACAAGGAATACTCTATTTCGCCAATATTTCAATTCCTAGTTAATATGGGATTGATAAATGGAAATATAAGAAACCATTAATAATTGTTCTTCTTGTATTCTCTCTAGTCTGTCATACAGCTTGATTTGCCTCTAGGGGTGGGACTTCAGTCTGGCGGTTCGGTTTGACCTCGGTTTGAGTCGGTTTCGGTTTGGAGCGGTTCGGATTGAAACGGTTTAGTTTAGCTGGCGGGTCGGTTTGGTTCGGTTTGGGTTAGTCACGGCTCGGTTTGGTTTCGGTTTATTTCTTTGCGGTTTAAATTCGGTTTGGGTCATAAGCGGGTCGGTTTATAAACGATTCGGATTATGTCGGTTCGGTTTGATACGGGTCGGTTTAAGGGGCGGGTTTACCCGGGTCAATGTCAGTTCGGTTTACAAACGGTTTGGATCAAGCCGGTTTGGTTTGAAATGGGTCGGTTTAGGGGCGGATTTACCCGGGTCAATATCGGTTCGGTTTATAAACGGTGCGAATCATGTCGGTTCAGTTTGAAATGGGCCGGTTTAGTAGAGGGTTTACACAGTTCAATTGGTTCGGTTTATGAACGGTTTGGATCATGTCGGTTCGGTTTATAAGCGGTTTGGGTCATAAATTGAATTCATGATTGTTTTAAAGATCGCGTCATAACCATGATTTAATGAGTTGATACTTATAATACGATAAATCAATAATTAAGAATGTACAAATATTCAATTAGATTGATCAACAAGTGTTTTAAACTTTTAAGTTTTAATAATCAGATATGTAAATATGTTTATCGATTGTAGTACATACCAATAATTCAATGAGGCAATGATACTTATGATAGTATGATAATGATACCAACCGTACATTCGTACGATATGAAACAGTCACAGACTCACAGATATACAACGGTTAGATTGAATGCCCATGAAAAACAATGGTTAGATTTTCATTACTTTATTAGTTATTAGTATTATTACTTATTAAGTTATTATTAGTTTTATAGTTTATTATATATACTGATATACAGTCACAGACTCACAGATGTCAGATATTGATGAGCATTAACTCATTAAGTCATTAACTATGTCGTATTGAATCAATTTCAATTTTGAAACATTTGCGTTTCTTACAATTTATAACTTATAAGTAATAAACTAATAATAATAATAATAATAATAATAATAATAATAATAATAATAATAATAGTAATAATAATAATAATAATTATAATAATATTATAATAATAGTAGTAGTAAACTAGTAATAATAATAATATTAACAAATAATTATACTAACAATAATAATAATAATAATAATAATAATAATAATAAATAATTAAAAAAAACGGTCAAAAAGACCTAGAAAAGCACAAAGAAAAATCTAGACCGTTAGATCTAGATGAATATTCTAGAATCTACAAAAAAAAAAAAAAAAAAATGAACGGTTAGATGTTGAGATTGAATATGGACGGTTAGATCAACTGAAGTAAAACCTAAACCTAGAAAAAAAACCCACTCTCACTCTCTCAGCCATTCTCATTCAGCATTTCAGCCGTTTCTCTCTCAATCTCACAATCTGCCATAGTTTCTCTCTATAACTTCTCAGTTTCTCACTCTTTCGTTCTGAAATTCTCAAGAATCTCAAGCTCAATTTCGTTTCATTTGTGTTTTGGATCTACATTTCTGATTTCTAGCTTTACATTCTCGTTTTTTTGTTAATTTTTGTTGTTTTCGTTTTGATTTTTTTCGTTTTTGTTCCGGTTTGTTTATTTAGGGTTTTTGTTTTCGTTTCATTTGTGTTTTGGATCTAAGTTCTGTTTTTTCATTTATTATTTTGTAAATTATAATTTCTGCTTTTTTTTTTAAAGTTCTTATTCTTTTGTTCATTTATTGTTTTGCAATGTATAATTTGTGCTTTTTTTTTTTTAAGTTTTAATTTTTTTTTCTTTTTTTTGTAGATCTGTCATATTCTACTCACGGACGATATAAGGTATGAATTTTGTTTGTATGAATTTGATCTTAGTCGCTAGATCTTAATTTTCAGAGGGAGGGGAATTGAATTATGGTTGTGTTGGTTGATTTGACTCTTTTTTTTGGGTGGTTTTTCAAGGAATTTTGTTTTTGTTTTTTTAGTTCGAAATTCGACAATGTACAAAGAAACGAATTGAACATGTGAGAGATTCATAAATTAGTACCAGTATATACGAGTTATGTTGAATGCCTTCAATTATTATTATTATTTTATTATTTTTTCTTCTGAATTCTTTCCCTTTCTTATTACTGGAAGTATTATTATTGTCCTGTATGGGTAAAAAAAATGTTGTGTGTTTCAAAATTTACGGCCTTGTTTGACAATTACCGTCGTAAATTACCTAATGTAATTGACATTTTCTTTGCCTTCCATATAATTGTTGGGATTATTAGTTGATTTAATCGCCGATTGTGCTAGTAGTTGAGACCTGCAAGTAATTTCGTATCATGACTTTAGGTTGTCATGTTTTCCACCAAGATGATTATCTTTATCAAATATAATTAATTGTCTAAAATTATACATTATTTTCGAATTTGCCATGTACAGTACTATGTAATTTGATCTAGCGACTAAGATCAAATTCATATCTCTTTTTATTATCTACTTATTCAAGCAAGCTACAGTTTACTTTCTATAACATGACAAACAAATTGTCCATTGGGTTAACCTATGCGAGACTGACTTCGATCTAATAAGACACTTTCTTAATTAAAGTTTAAACATGGCCTACAAAATTGTGTAGAGTTTTAAATACATGCAATTTGTCTCCTATATGTTTTATTCTGCATATCTGTTTTTGGTTGTTGTTCCTGCTGAGTCCCTTCTGCTTATATTGTTGCTTGCTTCTGATGAGTTGCTGATCTGTTGTTGCCTGAGCTGGTTCCTGCTTGTTGCTGCTATTTCTTCTGCTCTTGGGTGTGCTGCTGCTTCAAGATTGTTGGTGCCTTTTGTTTTTAGGAATGTTTTTTAGGTTAAATTTTGTTATTAGGATAATTTATTAATTTATGATCATATGTAAAATGTAAATCTTTAACTTATTTATTTTTAATGTAAAATGTAGATGAAATGTATTTTTTTTTGGAATAATTAAAGTTATTTATTTTAAATTTATATTTATTGTTACCTTTGTTAAATTAAAGTATGTATATAATAATACTAGTATGTTACATTTGATATTAATTAAAATAAATAAGTAATCTAAAACAACATTATTCACATTAATAATGTCGTTGGACTAGGTGATATAAACCGTTGTATAAACCTAAGCCGTTTGATTAGATCTACATTTATTAACGTTAATTGTATTTATTTTAAATTTATATTTATTGTTACCTTTGTTAAATTAAAGTATATATATAATAATACTAGTATGTTACATTTGATATTAATTAAAATAAATAAATAATCTAAAACGACATTAATAATGCCGTTGGATTAGGTGATATAAACCGTTGTATAAACCTAAGCCGTTTGATTAGATTTACATTTATTAACATTAATTGTATTTACTATTTAGCCATTTAGGTTGTAAATAATTCAATTTGAATTAAGCAGTTTGTAATCGGATCAGTTTAAACAGGTTGTGATTCGAAAACAATTCGATTTTAACGGTTTAACGGGTTATGACAGTTCAGTTTAGACGGTTAGCGGATTATAACGGTTCGGTTTATACGTGCGGTTTAAACGGTTTCGGTTCATAAACGGGTCGGTTTAAACGGTTAGCGGGTTACAAATGGTTCGGTTTAAACGGTTTTTTTTTCGGTTTAAACGGTTTCGGTTTATAAACGGTTCGGGTCATTAACAGGTTACAAACCATTTGGTTCGGTTTCGTTTCGGTTCGGATTTGCGCAGTTTGGTTTGTTATCGGTTTACGGTCTGTAACGGGTTGACATTGAGCGGTTCAATTCGGTTTCGGTTTGATATTGAACGGTTCAGTTCGGTTTTCGGTTTATATTTATCGGTTTATAAACGGATCGGTCCGTGATGGTTCGGTTCGGTAACGGGCGGTTTCACGGTTCGGTTTGAAAAGTCGCACCCCTATTTGCCTCTATTTCATAATATACCATTTTCAGGTTAAATTTATGTGTTTAATTTTTATTTTTTTTAAAAAAAATCAGAAATTAAGAATTTTAAAAAAACAATCAACATTTAAAACGCTGACTGAGGCAGCGTTTTACACATTGTATTTTTGTAAGGAAAACCAGGGTATAAAATGCTGTCCGAGACAGCGTTTTACCCTAGAAGCTTAGTTTGGTAAATAGTTTGGCCACGAGTCTAGCTTAAAAAATTGTTTTGTAATTAAGCTTACTTTGGTTAATTTATCCCTTTTATTGCGGTGAGAAGAGAGTGCAACTAGGCGCAAATTTATTATTTATTTGGGATGCATATAGAAGGGCTAATTGGTAAATCCGCATAATTTTTGTAATTTTTTATCGTTACAGTGGTACTATTATAGGTAATAGTGGCATAATATTTGATGATAATTTATTTACAGTGGTTAATATTCGTACCACTAGAAGAACATTTTTCACTACTCTTTTGTCTTATTCATGCTATTTACTTGCCATGTAAATAACAACTATACACCAATACTTAACCGTGAGAAGATATCTCAGTCTCAAAATTGAAAATCTTACAGTCAAGATTCAAAAATTACAAGCCATTAGGTGATAGAGATGTCGAGTGGGTCAAGTAGGAGACCCATCCCAGGTCTCGATTTGACGAGTGGTGGGGCGGGATGGGAATAATATAAAAACTATACCTGTCATAGGTGATGGGGTGGGGTAGATTTTAGTTGTACCCGCTCGCATTCGAATCCCACATCATACTCGCCCTGTCTCTCTTGAGTCTCCTCCACTTCGTACCCACTTTGTACCAATATCCATAAATTTTTTATAAAATAAATTACTATACATATATTTTTATACTTATTTTTTTATAAAAAAAATTAAGTAAATAAAGTAGTATACATAATACTTTGTAATAAACTTATACAATAAACAAAAACTCGTGTTATACAAATAGTAACAATTTCTTATAGGGAAATTCTACATGGTGGCCTCATGGTTTTGCGTTTCCTATGTGGAAGACGAACTTTTTTCCAGCTCTCTTCAGTGGCACCAAAATTTAAAAAATTTACATAGTGACCTTTTTTAAAGTTTATGGCTAACTTTTTTAGTTAAAATGGTTAGCCTTTGATTTTTTTAATAAAAAATTATTTAAATTATATTTTTAAATTATAAAATTTGAAAAAAAAAAAAAAAAAACCCCACCTTTCTCTCTCCTCTCTAATTAATTTGAATTTTTTTTTTAAATTTTTATTATTTTAAAATATAATTTAAATAATTTTTTAATAAAAAAAAAAAAATCAAAGGTTAACCATTTGAACTAAAAAGGTTAGCCATAAACCTAAAAAAGGTGACTATGTAAATTTTTCTAAACCTTGGTGTCATTGAAGAGATCGAGCTAGAAAAAAGTTCGTCTTCCACGTAGAAAACGCAAAACCATAAGGCCACCATGTAGAATTTCCTTTTTTTTTATTATTATTATTTATATTGCGTAGAATTGTTATATTGGAAGGCGGGGATAAGGCGAGTCTTGGGGGGGAATAGGTGGTGTGAATATCAAGGTGGGGGTGGAGTGGAGATGGTTTTGAAATTGTACCCGTCAGGCGAGGATAAGGATGAATTTTGGACTTGCCATGGGGATGGGTAGAGAGGTTTGGGGATGAGAATGTTAGGAGGGTATGGGGATAGTAAGACCACCATCCACTTCGCCACATTAACATCCCTACATATCGAGACCTGACAATCAAGTTATCGGGTCGGATATAGATCGGGTCATATTGGGTCGAGTCAAGTTTGGGTCAACAATTAATAAAGTCGGGTTTAGGTTGAGTCAGGTCAATTAGGATTTCTGATTTCAGGGGTGGAGGAAAGGCGGGGTTTTTTGTTTTCAAGGGTTAGGGAAAGGAGGGTTATTTTTCGGGGAAAAGGGAGCAACCGCCTACCGATTCCTTAGTGGGCAGGATGAAGGACGGAGTAGCAAGGGAGGGGGTTTGCGGGTAGTAGGTGAATGGATAGCAAGGGATGGTAAAAATTTTATATTAGAAAACTTTATGGATAGCAAAGGAGAGGTAAAAAGTTATATTATAAAACCTTATTTTTATATAATTAAATATTAATAAAAAATTATAAATTTTTTTAACAAAGTTATATTATAAAAATTTATATTAATACTGATCTAACAACATATTATATGATAAATATATGTTTATAGTATTATGCTAATAAAAAATATAGTCAAAGTTAGTACTACCTCCGTTTCAAATTATAATTAGTTGCAACTTTGAGCTCGACACGGATTTTAAGACAAAATTTCATAATGGTTGATTAATAAATTAAAGATAGGTAATTAAGCAAGGTAGGAGAGAGAAAGTAAAGGTAATTAATAAATTAACCTCCACCACAAACAACAGCCACCGCACCACCATCGGCCAACAACAACCACCGCACCACCGTCGGCCAACAACAGCCACCCCGGAATCACCCACGTCACACCCTAATCCACCCCATCTCAACCCCAATCACCCTGAAACCACTTATACATACACGACAATCGTAAAACTAACCTCTCCACCTGAACAACCCGAAGTCACCCCCTCTTAGCTCGAAAAACACCGAAACCACTAATCACCCCCTCTAAGTTCAAACCACCTTAAAACCCCCCTTTCTCAACTCAAACCACCTCGAAAACCATACCTTCTAGCACAGACCACCTCGAAAACTATACCTTCTCAGCGTAAACCACCCTCGAATAACCACCCTCGCTCACCCCCAAAACCACCCACATCCCCCCTAAATCGCCCCAAAAGTACCCCTACTCATCTTGAACCACATCGAAACTATCCTTAGTAACCCTAATCCACCTAGAAACCGCCTCGAGCCACCCCAAACTTGCCCAATCACCCCTCAAACCATCACATCAAAACGATTTTTTTAAAAAAAAATTAAAAGAGGGAAAAGAGAGAGATACAGAGAGAAAAGGGAACATAGGAGAAGAGGAGGCGACTTTGACAGTGGTGATAAGGTAGTGGTTAGATGTAGCGATGACAATGGTAAAGGTGGTGCCGCGGTGGTCTAGTACTTTCATGGGAGATGAATGAGTTCTGATGATTGTTAATTTAATTGGGTGACAATATTATGTTAAATAAGTTAGAATAGGAATTTAATAGTCTGATGTAGGTAGTTATTAGCTAATTTAGGCTACATTAGTACATTACCATATTTAGGCTACATTCAAATAGTCTTGCAAACCACATATTACATTCAAATTGTCTTGCAAATCACACATTACTATAAGTTCAAACTTTCTTGTAAACCACACACATTACCATATTTAGGCTACATTCAAATAGTCATGCAAGCCACACATTACTACAAGTTTACTACATGGTCTTCAAGTGGCACATATGATGCCCTTCCATGTACAATTCATCCAACCCCCCTTCCTCACCAAAATTCAGTTATTGGCTGAGAAATCAATCCAGGGGTGGTTTGTCACCATATCGGAAATTTTTCGGATGACGAATCACTCCCATGGGGCACATTTTGCAGTATTTATTGTAGTCCGCACCTATAAAACATCAAAGATAAATTAGACAGACAGATTTTAAGGAGCCGTGTGTAAGAGAGATGCTCATAATAAGACACCGTTCATTATTCTTGCCAAAAAACAGTGAACCATCTAAAACATACACACCCAGGCAAAAATAGCATTAGGGCTTGCCGCCGACCAACACCTACATATCATTTACCATTGAATTCCCTAGTTTCACACAGTAATTCAAAACCACAACAATTAGGGCATAATTAAGTATTTGCACAATTAAATCATCGAGATATAATTTCACAAAAAAAAAGAAGAAAAAAAAAAAACTTTCTTTGAAACCTATACTGGGAATAAAAGACAAAACATAATCCACCAGGAGTCTTTTTAATTTATTTTTAGGCCATTTTTACGGGTGACTTTAAGCAAGGGATTGTAGAATTCCTATCCCCACAAAACACGGATGCAACAATTTCTCATTATAAATGAGGCTTTAAGAGCTTGAGGCAGCAGCCAGGGAGTAGCAGCAAGGGCACACCCTAGCAGCACGACCCACCTACAGCACTCCTTCACCAACCAAAGCAGGCTGCTACAAGGGTAAAAGCACAGAAGGCAGCAGCCTTGGAGGCAAACACCACTATCAACATCAACTCAGCAAAGCAACCAGGCAGCAGCAACTAGAAAATGACCAGCAACACCAAAAATCCAGCCCAAAAACCAAGCAGCAGCAGCAGCACAAAAACTCAGCAGCAGTATCCACCCAAAGTAAGCAATAGCTAGCAGCCATCAATTAAAATACCAACAGCAGCAAAGAAAGGCAACCAGAAGCAAAACATAGAGCACCAGCCAGCAAAGACAACCAGCAGCCCCAACAACCAACAACCAGCCTTTACACCCAAGAGCATAAAAACTGCCAGCAGACAGAGAGAGCCGCAGCAGCAATAATAAAGAATTACAGCATCAGCAACACCAATAAGAAAAGCAGGCAGCAACAAAGCAAACGCTCTGCACAGCAACAGCAATGCAGGACCAGCAACATAACCTATCAGTTTAAACAAGCTGCCTGAAACATAGAAAAGCAGGCTGGCAGCAGCAGAGCAGCAAAAGGACAGAGGCAGCAGCCAGGAAAAGCATGTCCTTTTTTTTTTTTTTTTTTTTTTTTTTATGGGAATCAGAGAATTCTATTAAGCAAAAGCTGAAGAATTAGACAATACAAAACAAAGTGAATCTTGAGGAACTTCCTCAATCCACACCCTTAACTCCCAAAATGTTTACTAAGGTGAGCAAGGCAAAAGCATGTCATGTTGAACATAAACAACCATTAGATAGCTGGAATTCAAGATCTAGATTATGGTGATGGGGTGCTAGTTCATTCCATAGCAGTGTTGGCAAGGCATTAGAGGATCTAGAAGTCCAAGAGATTCCAAATATATTATAAATGTTCAAGTTCAGATGAGAAGATTTGTACTACTCAAATAGCCCCAAATACTAAAAACAAATACCAAATAAGCAGGCAGCAATGACATACAAACTTCTTAACCCTCTTTCTTTTGGACTGTATTAAGCGAAGACTTCCATGCACAGTAGAGCCTGTTTCAGTTGCATGTTGCATTTTACTTCTTGCACTACTATATAGGGATTCTCCCACTCCCCCAACAAAACTCCCAACTCTCAAGGGCAGCCAACCACATTAGGGCTTAGGCCATCAAGGAGGAGGTCATAAACAAAGATGAAATTAATTAAATTTAGTAATGATACAAAACTAGCTCAACTACAATTTCATTTCAAGTTAATTAGAGACTCACATTAGATTATAAAACAGAAGGTAATAACAGCACACAGATGAATCAAGAACAGAATAATCATGGAAACGTAAGAGGAAGAAAGCATTTTAAGGGACATATAACATGCTTAAGGGACAAAAGAGGAAGAATGCATTTTAAACAAGATATAAGTTTGAGCTATGATGGGAAGTAAAGCAAAGAATATGAACCAAAACCATCCCTTCAAAAAGACAAACTTTTTTACGCTGGTTGGTCACCAAACAAGATTATCAAGTCATCTAAATCAAACAAGAACCCCAGGTTTAAGAGCAAAAAAGCCTGTAGAACAATGGGTCAATGGCATACTAGAAGGGTACAAATAACAACAATGGGCATTATGAAGCCAAGAGAGCCAAATGTTGTCCCACCTGTGGAAACTTAAGAGATGATATTATCTCATTATAAAGAGCAAATTAACCCCAAAGAATTCAATCAAGCACAAATATCTAATATGAGCCGACACCAAATGTTCGCTTTCATAAACCAAGAAGAAGACAAAAGGCTATACAACTTCATTGAAGTTATACAACTTAAAAGTTCAATTTATAACTAAAAACAATGCCCAAGGCATAATCCCTATAAAATAAGATCAGTTTGCATGAACCAAACTTTTATCAGGTGTTATATGCTACATGCTCTTGCAAACCCAAATTTTTAAAATCATTTTTGTATGCCTCCAATCCAAGTCAACTTGAGCCTCCCTCGGCTTCTTTTAAATCCCCATAAACCCAACTCTCCACTTTCCATAATAGACGTCTCACATGCCCAAAGCAACCTACTTGGTTTTTATCTTTTACCAAAAAAAAAAAAAAAGCAAGCATTCAAAGGACAAAGAAAAAACTACAAATAGACAAAGCATTATTTAAACAGCATAAAGAAAATATAGAATAGTTAAGAGTATAAATCTAAAGCCGAGTTCACCAGGGGTGGAAAAGAATTATAAAGATAAAGGTCTCACCATCTAGCAGACTACAATAAGTTAGGGAAGTCTTCGACTGAAGAGTTTCCATAAATTCAGCAAAGAAGAGCTTGCTGGAAAAATCCCCAGGAATGAGAGGCGCTCTATCAGGCTTAGCAGTGAAGTTGCAATGAGTAGCATAACAATGATCCTGATCACCATGGACGATTTCGCCATTATTTTCAGCCTTATAGTCCGTGTTCTGCATGTCATATCATAAAAGTAGTTTTACGTTATGCATAAGTCTTTATAAGGTGTTAGTTACTACATCGGTAATTGAAAATGGCTAGTAAAAACTGAAAAGAAAAAATGACAGTAATGATGTCAATTGAGTTGTGACATGAGATGTGAAGTGGAATGTACAAAAACAATACAAAGTATAGCTCTAAACCTCTCCCATGTAGAGATTTGATACAGATGATTCATGATTTGACTCATTGCAAATGTTTGAGTTTGGTTTTTTTTAAGTCAAAATAAGTTGAAAAGAATAGATAATAGTGCTCCCTTTGTCCACACATACAAAATCTTTTATACTGTTTCCGAAGTCCACAAAAAAACAAAAAAAAAAAAAAAAAAAAAAAAAAAAAAAAACTAACTTTTAGGTAAGCCAAGTTCCACACTCACAACCCTTGTAATTTTTTTTCTTGTTTATTTAATACTTCCTTGATTTAATTTCATGGTTACACTTAAACAATATACGGTATTTCATAAAAATGGTTATACTACAACTTTTTCCATTTTAAGACTATTTTTGGACCATTTTCCCACAACTATATATATATATTTTACAATAGCTTCTCTTTTTCAATTCCACTTATCACATATCTGGTTTTGTTGAAATTGAAGTGTAACCATTAAAATGAAACGAAGAGAGTGATATCTAGCATAAACCCTTCCCATATAATTTCCCACTATAATAAGGTAAGATATGATAAGTTGAGGACAAATAAAGGACAATAAGTTTAGATAACATAAGTTGAGTGCAATTTAGTTCAGGAGAACACTATGAAAAACTCTAATATGAATATAAACATTTACAAAGGAAGTAAGTAATAATTATACATACATTGGTTTTGTTAAAGTAAGCCAAGGCCTTTTCAGAATACTCAGCCAGTTGACTATGGAGCTCCGCCTTGCTGATGGGTTTGGAACAGTCCGTACGCCCTGGGAAGAATATATCCGTATCGGGAATGAATATAGGATAGGAATCCTTCTCCCACCTTGTAATCCATAATCAATCTCTAAATTAGTCAACTTTCTATAATTTCAATTCAATTCTTATTATCATAAAAAGTAAAATTGGGCGATTTCGGAACAAACAAATTATCATCATTATTCCCTTAGAACAAAAACTTAAAATTCAAACAATACAGAAAATAATAATCATAAGCGATAATAACTTTGTGAATAACCAAGTAAAATTGGGCGATTACGGAACAAACAAATTATTATCATTATTACCCTTAAAACAAAAACTTAGAATTCAAACAATATAGATTTAAAATAATAATAAGGATAATTTGTAAATTACCACCTAAAAATGTACCTGTTTTTGAACTAACCACCCGTTTAATTTTTTATTTTATTTTACCACCCCTTAAATTAAATAATCACTCAGAGTAACACCCATTTCAAAATTCCGGTGGGTTTTCCGTCTGTGAGCCCGACCTAACCGTTATTTTGACTCTTTTGACTAATTCTTCCTCTTCTTCTTCATCTACAATTCCCCACCGGCAGCACCACCCACCAATTTCCTGGACAGCCACCATAATCAACCTCACCGCCCTTAACATACACCACTAGCCACTGCAATCTACCCCACCACCCTCAACACACCCCACCGACCACCGCCTTCAACTTCACCGCCCTCCACACACATCTCACCGCCCTCAACAAACCCTCATCGACCACCGCCTTCAACCGCATACCATCGAACATTGGAGAAATTAATCGGAAAATAACAATAATCAAATTGCAGAATTCAACTAACAATAATCGATTTTTGCAATTTTTGTAATTGATCCTGATCTTCTTGTTGTTGTATTAAGGATTGAATTTAGGGTAAATTACTAAAGAATTGTCCTACAAATTAATTGCAAAGTTTTAATAGCAGAGACAATGAAAAGCTTAAAAGTGATAAAATCTGGAAAATTATAATCTTACTCGTCCCACTTCGCTAGAAGATCGTCCGTAAATTTATCGAGGTTAGTGCTATCCAATGGATCTGCATCCCGAAACTCAGTTAGAGGAGGAATAGAACGAAAAAGACGAACAGGGATAGAGTCATCCATTTTTTTTTTAAAGTTTTTTTCTCAATTTCTATTGCTTCTCTTCGATTAGGGTTTTCTGGAAAATTTGAGAGGAAAGAGGTTGCAAATCTTGCAATCTAACTGCAATTTTATAACCTACAAGTATTTGGAGTCGGTTTTGGTTTTAATCGTTTTTCTAATATCAGGCCTCCTGTTTTTCTTTCCGGGTTCGAGCAATAAAAAATCTCAGCCCTTCACTACCTCTTTATTTATTTATTTATTTTATTTTTTTTTGAGTAAAAGCTCTTAACTACAATTTTTAACCACTTGAAATCTTTGATGGCTTTTGAACAAAAATAAAATAATAATATGAAAACTAATCCTTAGCACATGTATAAGAAGTAGAGCTGCTCAAAACTGACCAAAAAAAGCTTCAATTTGGGTAGATTTTAGGCTGTTTTTTCGACCCGAAATCAGGTCAGATCTGGTTCATTATTTTTTAAGACGGGTTTAGTAATGCATTTTTATGTTCTTTTTGTTCATTTTTTTTTTTTGCCAGGCTAGAAAATCCCGTATGGTCCGACCATTTTGGACGGGATTGGGCATTGAATTTCGGCCCGAAGCTAAGCCCGACCCGAGTAATGGCATATTTTTTTAGCTTCGACCCGGTCCAGCCTGCCCATTGATCAGGTTTAATAAGAAGCTAAAAAAGGAAATATTGAAAATAAATTAACATTAATTACACCGATTTCCGTGTGATTTTGTCATAAATTTTCAACTTAATTCTATTTTAAAAAGTATCTTTAATGGTTATATATAGCCATAAGGGTTGCATATATCATTACCCTAATATTAATGAGGTTTTGAATTAGTGGTTAAGACTCAAACCCATTTTTAAATGTACAAATATATATAGCCCACTATTCCCAAAGTACTTAGCCCACTAACCCGAGCTTGGAGGATCTATGAAAGGTTTCAGCCCGATACACTACAAGAAAACAACTTAATTCCGACGGAAAAAATCCGTCGGAATCATCGAAAATTCCGTCGGAAACGGGTCTTCCGACGGCATTCCGTCAAAATTAGTCTGTCGCAATACCCTTTGTAGGAAATTCGACCTTTTCCGGCGTAAGGCTGGTCCAAGCTCAAATGCAGGCCCAAGTACAGGCTCAAGTGCAGGCTCAAGTGTAGGCTCAGATGGCGGAACTTGAGCGGAGGAACAAAGAGATGATGGACGAGATGTTGAGTCGCATGACCGGACTCAACACTCCATTCACATGTTCCACGAACGATGCCACTGCAGCCGCGAGACCCTTGGGACGACGACCCCGGTTGTGGGGGAGGCTCGGCTTCTTTTCCCGTCGTGTAGCTTTTTGTTTCTTTTCACCTATTGTACATAATTTGAGATACAATGTAGGTTATTTATCCAAACTGAATGTAATAATTATAATTATTAATTTATATTGATTGATTTATTTTCAAATGAAATTTTATTATGTTTTAAAAAGATTGCAGTAGCGAAGAACAGGTCAATATACAGGGGGGAAGTGGAAGCAAAAAATAAAAAATAAAAAAAAACAAATTTTCCGACGGAAATAATCCGTCGGAACAGGGGGGATTTCCGATGGAATTATTTTCCGTCGGAAGTCACCGATGGCTTCTGACTGTCGGTGATTTCCGACGGATTATTTCCGTCGGAAAATGCCATATTTCCGACGAATTATCCAGTCCGTCGGACATTTCCGATGGACATTTCCATCCCCCAGTCACCAAGCTCCGACGCCTCTTTTTCGTCGGAAATTCCATCGAAATTCGACATTTCAGTCGGAAACGACCTTTTTTCCGACGAAAGGTTTTCCGACAGACATTTTCCGGCGGAATTCCGTCGGAAATGACATTTTCCGGCGGAATTCCGTCGGAAATGACATTTTCCGGCGGAATTCCGTCGGAAATGACAATTTCCGACGGAAATTCACTATTTTCCGACGGATAATTTCCGTCGTAAATAAGCTTAATTCTTGTTGCGCAGATCTACTAACAAATCTACCATCTCTACCCTTACGCACATCTACCCTACGCGTCTCATACATCCCATCAAGCCTTTGACTGAATGGACCGTAATCATCATATGGTCCACTCTGATCGTCGACATCCTCATCTGCATCCTCCTCCTTCTCCTCCTCCACCTCCTCCTCCTCATCACCATCATCATCTTCATCATCCTCAGAATAGTGCACCCGTTCTCTACGAGCCGAGGCCAAAATACCACGGGATCTAACGTGTCTGGGCCTCGAGCTCTCCATTGAATAGATCGTACTTCTCATAATGTCCATAGTCTTCCCCGCACCAGCTTCAAAATGTGATGCCTAACTCCATGTAAATAACGAAAAATAATAACGAAAAAAAATTCAACAAAGTCGAAAATGCACACAAAAACAAAAAAAAAAAACACCAAAACATACAATATGAATTTAAGAAAAGTAAATACAAAATAAATAAATAAATAAATAAAAGAACATACAAATAACGGGAAAAATTAACAAATATGAAAAAAGAATATAAACATAAAAAAAATTTAACAAATTTGAAAAAAAAAATATAAACATAAACAAAACAATATACCAAAAACCAAAAATATAAACAAAAACAATAAAATATAAACAATAAACAAAAAAATGAAAAAGATAAACAAAAACAAAAAAATCAAAAATACAAAGAAAAAACCAAAAAAACAAAAAAAAAGGACAACAAAACAAAAAAATAATAAACAAAAAAATTGAAACAACACCCAAAACAAAAAAAAAATAAAAATAATAATTTAAAAAATAAACAAAAAAAATATGGAAAAAAAATTACAAAAATTAAAAACAAAAAAAAATAAATAAAAAATTTTAAAAATAAACAACACCCAAAACATTTTAAAAAAAATAAACAAAAGGAGGTGTGGCGCCTGGCCTGGACACCACAGCCACGGTGGCGGCGCTTGGCCAGGACACCACGGCCACGGTGGCGGCGTCCACGTTGGACGTTGCTACCGTGGTGGTGTCGTCTTGGCCAGGCGCCGCCACGGTGGCTGTGGCGTCTAGGCCAGGCGCCACCACGGTGGCTGTGGCGTCTAGGCCAGGCGCCGCCACCGTGGCTGTGGCGTCCAGCCCAGTCGCCGCTACCTCTGCCTGTAATACCCCGTATTTTTGAAAGGTATTTTAGTCTCGTATTTTGACGTATTTTTCTAAATTAATTATTTTCTAAAGAGTATTTTAGTTTTGGAGTCAAAATGATATTTAAATTTTGGCGCCTAAATCATTATTTTACAAAACTAATTAAATTGGATAATCCAATAAATGAAACTGTTTTATACTTATGTCATAAATAGTATTTTTGATTTCTCAAAATTTAAATAGCTAAACCGAAATTATATTAATTCGGTAGATTAATTAAAATGTATTTTCGGTTTTCATAGAATAAAAATCTAAATTGTTTTATTATTTTTCTAAATTAATTATTTTCATGAAATATATTAATTTTCGGATTTTATACAATAAAAATCTGATTTAATTAATTATTATATGTCAATATTTTCGGCCACCCTAATTATTTAATAAAAACCTGATTTTTATTCTTCAATTATTAATTTTCACAAATAAATTTTATGGGATTATTAATTTTAGGTAAATAAATTATTTTACAAAATCATTAAATTAACATAGAAGGATCGAAATTATTGAGCAATATTAAGCTCAATATTTTCGGCCACTCATGAATTTTCTAAATGGTTTTAATTTAATTTATTAAAAATAAAAATCCTTTAAAATTCCTTATTTCTATTCTTAAATCTAAAATCTCTTGATCTTATTCTATACTTGCACTCCAAGCTCAAAACCTACTAAATAATATTTCATGACCAAATAAAATCTAATATCCTTCCATACATTTAAAACCCTAATTTCTATTCTTTAAAATTTCCATAAATTATACAACCCTAAATTTCTATAAACTCATCACCTAAACACCTATAAATACCCCCTCATAACTCTCATATTCTTCACACCAAAAACTCAATTCCCTTCTTTTCTTTTACTCTTCTTTTCCCTCAAACTTTTCCTATTTTTCTTTTCCTCTTTTCTAAAAGAAAATCTGCCCGTATATCTTTGGAGCCAATTTTCGGGCACTTCTGGTCATTTTTTGGATTTTTCTATTTCACAAAAAATTATTCCTCTCGAAAAATCCTTGAGGTTAAGCTCAAAAATCACCCAATTCGGAGTTATATCAAAGGAGTTATGACCTATTCAAGTTCTGCCTATTCTTTCCAACGCAAATTCAATTTTCTTTAATCCTATTCCTTTATTTTCTTCATGGTTAGTTTTCTAAAATATAATTACCTATTTAAAAGTTATAATTTAATATTAAAGTATTATTTTTAAAAGAGTTTTATAATCCATGCACATTACATTTGGGTTTATGTCTAAAGATGTTGTGATAACCGTATGGTTATGTTGATTGCAAGGTGTATTCGTGATTGAATTTTGAAAGTGCGAAGTGTTGATTGATATTCGGAATTAAGGTACGTTATGTGGTTTGATATCTTCAAAAGTTGACTATGAAATTATGTTTTAATATAGTTCTTATGAAATTATGTACCGTATGAAATTATGTGCCGTATGAAATTATGTTTTACTATATAAAATTGTGTTTTATGATAGCTTGAAATTAATGATTTGGATTTGAATCAAAAGGACCTTAAATTGTGATTGGAAAATTATTGAAAATGATTTGCAAGTTTGTTGTTATGTAAGTGTGATGGATTTTTTTTAAGACGAATTTTTAAATAAATCAATCGATATGTTGAATCCCACTTAGGGAATGGTTTAGAGAAGACTATGGACTTTGCATGACCTAGTCTTTCCTCAAGTTGGCCTTTGATTATAAAGTAAACCACTTGGGGGGTGTGCACACTTAGTGAAGAATTGGTTTTGGAACGTAATCGATTGAGTTTTTAAATTTTGTCTTGAAAGAATTGAATTGGAAAAACTCTTACTTGAGTACGGCATTGGAATTCTTATGAATTAAATCTAAATGATTTAAATTATGTTCTACTTATCTTACACATAATCTACTTAGCATAATTTGCTAATACGTGCTTTTGTTTTGGCTTTGCCCTGTTTACCATTTATGGTAAGCAGGTGAATGTTTCAGGTGGAAGTTGATTGATGCATACGGGAGTCC